GAAGCTGTGGGTGGCTCTGCCTGCAGATGTGCAGATAAATAAAGCGTCTGGTAGCCCCCAAGAGGGTAACCCTGATGAACCGTATCCGGCCCGCTGGCTGCTTATTGCCCACCACTGATCTAGTTGCAAGTTGGATTGTAAGAAGGTGATATGTGTGTTGAGTTACACATTTACAGCTGAACAAACAGTAAATGGCAAATCATAACTTGAGCTACGTCTAGACTACATCCCTTTCGAACGAGGGATGTAAATGAGGAAGATCGAAAGTGCAAATGAAGTGGGGATTTAAATATCGTGCACTTCATTTGCATAATCATGTCACACCGGTCTTTCGAAAAAGGGTATTTCGAAAATAAAACTGCAGTCTAGTTCTTTTGAAAAAGGGTTTTTTTTTTTCAAAAGAACCATGTCTAGACTGCAGTTTCACTTTCAAAATACCCTTTTTCGAAAGACCGCTGTGACACGGTTATGCAAATGAAGCGTGGGAAATTCAAATCCCTGCTTCATTTGCACTTTCAATGGGGCTCATTTACATCCCTCTTTCGACATAGGGATATAGTCTAGACAAGCCCTTTTATGAATTAAGCCTCTTTTTCTGCTCGTTGAGACTGTATCATTATGCCAGATTTTTTAATTTGAAATAATTTGATAAAGCTTTTGCTGCTATTTGTGAATTCTGGATATGTCACAAAGAATTAATGATGATAATTCAATACTTGATATTGAGGGTTCTAGTCCTATTGGTTAGTTTAATTGTCACATAAGCAACATGGCATTGTGTCAGTTTCTTGATTGGATGATAGTTACTCTTATAAACAAGAGGGAAGAAGCCTGTGAAGAAGCCTGTCAGGCTTTTACATAACATGTAAAAATACTGAAGTGTGCGTGGAAAGCCAGCCTTTACACGCACCGGCATCTAGTTTGCTTTTTCAGAGGCATGGTTTTGGGTGTGCAGATGTATGTCCAGCATAAGTCTCTACTACAAGATTTACTTGGCATTGCTCAGGTGCTTCAGAGCTGTGGCTGTGGGGTAGGGATGTGAATGGTTCACTGTTAACTAGTAAGCATCACCCTGCTCCAGGAGGCTGCTCCAGCCCTGTGGGACCTGCGGCAGGGGGAGGGTGCTCCAACCCTGCTAGAGCAGACCCCATCCTTTGTGCTCCTGGGCTGGGCCTGCCACGGTTGGGTGCTACTCAGATGAGGCTGGTTCAGTCCCCATCTGCCCCCGTTTAATCAGTTAACCACTTAAACATAATGTTTAACCAATTAACCCATTAATTAAATGGGATTATACATATCCTTAGTGTGGGGGGTGCAGGAGTCAGGGCAGGGGTTTGGGGATGTGGGAGGGCTAGGGTTTCAAACATCTCTCTTTGGTGTCGTGTTCTGTTGCAGAAGACATTTCTATGAAAATTAGGGCTAGGGTTTCAAACATCTCTCTTTGGTGTTGTGTTCTGTTGCAGAAGACATTTCTATGAAAATTCATGCATGATGATACATTAAGAAAAAAATTAACAAACATGTCAGAGTTTACACTGGGGGACAGTGGCATCTGTGGGGTGCAACTTCCCTTCCTGTTTAAATGGGTGGGGAAGGCACAAAATCTCAGTTCTGCTGATCCCAGTACACCCCATGCAGTTCACTAGAGCCAGTGCAGAGAGTGAAATAATCTGTGCTCACAAAAGGGGTGATATAAATTACTGACAAGCAGCAGAACCAAACTGAGATCTTTTCCATTCCCTTCCGTTCCCTTTTCCAATGCAACATTGGCCCCTACAGTACATTTTCTAGGGTTTTATCTGGTTACAAAAGTACCAGTTGCCGAATTTTATTCCAACAAGTCTGTTAGTTCTGTTTGACTTATCAAGCATTTCTTTCTCCTTTCCCAATGTTGTGTCTTTGAATAGGAGGCTAACTGGGTTCAGCTATTCACAAAGACAGAGGTACTTGTCTGGAAGCTCTAATAGCTATTGAATCATCTGTGTGGATTGTTGCCAAGTTATTTAGCACATGTGTCTGTAACTGTGATACACTGGAATCTTGAACTCATATTGCCTTCCACTTGTTTGGTGTAGTATCTAGTTGTAGTTTGTGAATCTTGAACTCATATTGCCTTCCACCTGTTTGGTGTAGTATCTAGTTGTAGTTTACCCTCCTGTAATATAAAACATGCTGGAATATGAAGTGCCTCAATACTTGATTGAGGTAACAAGTGGTTTCACTACTTGCTTTAGGGTTTTTCTTACACCATCTAGTTTCTTCATCTGGCTATGTTTCTTTGTACGAACTTTATAAAATGCGGGCCAGGTAGGTTTTGCATGTCTAGTTTGAATCATGGGAATCTTTCACACTGCAAAGGCCATTGCTAACAAGCCACAGGTGTACACTGCATGAGCATAGAACTACCTCCTTTCGACCGTATTTATGCCAAAAGCACATATTTTGAAGTCCAAAATGAAAGGCTGCACGTCTGGGAAAGGTTTTCTGACTATCCATCCATACTACAGCTCCAAAACAGCTTATCAGAAACCCTGAAAACCCTGTGACCAAATAAAAAATTATTTTTAATAAAGCCTGACCAGTTACAAAATTGCACAATAGAATTGTGAGAACAATGTTCAGTAAATAATTTACTTGATGAATTTTGCCTATTTTTTCTCTTCACAAAGAATTCATGAGCTGCTTACAATGTAGTCATCTTTATTAGTTATTTTAAAATTTTGTGTAATTTTTTTCATGGAATAATTATTGGTCTTTCAATTTCAGAGCACTTATTTTACTGCAGCTTAAATATGAACTTTGAACAGTGTTGGTTCATTTTCTCCTTTACGGCTCATGGCATGTTTCTATTCCTTGCTTAGATTTAACACAATTCCCTGAATCAAGATTCTGCTGCAGACCCCTATTGGTTACTTACAATGCAAAGGCTAATTATTTAGATCTATTGGTGCCTTTTTATATCATTAATCTCATAAAACTAGGTGACTGTGCAACAAAATGACTAAAGAATTTTAATGCTGATAAATGCAAAGTAATACACATTGGAAAACATAATCCAATTATACATACAAAGTGATGGGGACTAAATTAGCTATTACCATTCAAGAGAGAGATCTTAGAGTGATTATGGATAGTTCTCTGAAAACATCCATTCAATATGTAGCAGCAATCAGAAAAGCAAACAATGTTAAGAATCATTTAAAAAGGGATAGAGAATAAGATAGAGACTTATTGTCTCTGTATAAATCTATGGTACACCCACATCTTGAATACTGCATACAGATGTGGTTGTCTCATCTCAAAAAAAGATGTCTTAGTACTGGAAAAAGTTCAGAAAAGATAAACAAAAATGATTAGGAGTTTGGAATGGCTGCCATATGAAGAAAGATAAAAAGACTGGGACTTTTCATCTTAGAAAAGAGTAGATTAAGGGAGGATATGATATAGGTCTATAAAATCATGACTGGTGTGGAGAAAGTGAATAGGGAAAAGTTATTTATTTGTTCCCATAACACTAGGAGTCACCAAATGAAATTAATATGTAGCAGGTTTAAAATAAACAAAAGGAAGTATTTCTTCACTCTATGCAGAATCAAAATGTGGAACTCCTTGCCAAAGGATGTTGTGAAGACCAGGTCTTTACAGGGCTCAAAAAGAACTAGATATATTCATGGAGGATAGCTCAATCAATGGCTATTAGCCAGGATGGCTAGGAATGATGTCCCTACCCTCTGTTTATCAGAGTCTGGGAATGGGTGACAGAGTGGGATTGCTTGATGATTACCTGTTCAACTCTCCTGGAGTTACCAGGAGTTGATTAGATTGTTTTAGAATAATTTTTTTGGTTCCTTCCTTTGATGTAAGATTTAGGCGAGGTCTACACTACACCTGGAAGGTCTGGTTAGGGAACGCAACATCAGTTATGTAAAATACGTAGCTGAAGTCATCTTACCTTAAGCTGAGGTTGGCACCATCTTCACAGAGGGAAGCTGATGGGAGCAAATGTTTCTTTCAGCTTCCCTTACTCCTCACCAATGCCAGGAGTACTGGCATTGGCTGGAGCTACCCTCAGTGTTTGATTTATGGGTCTTACCTAGACCCGCTAAATTGAACTCTAGAAGAATGAGCTCTGGCATGGCAAGTGAAGATGTGCCCTTACCAAGTGTTCATAAGGAACTAATACAATTCCCAGGTATTCTCCTATCTGAAGTCCTGGCTATGTCATTCTTATCACTGCCTTAGTTCAGTAAGCATGTGGTTGGATATAGTGGCACAGTTGGCATGTGTCAGCCAAGTGCTGTTGCCTGTGAATCTGCAGAGTGGTTCTGAGATTAATTTTAACCTGTTAGATAAGAGGATTGCTTGTATAACATGGCAAATAGGGTAGGCCAATGGATTTCAGATCTCTTGCCTGGGCAAGAGTGAGTGCAAATATACTTTAAAATCACGTACACCATGGACCATCTTTTTATATGTATCCTCTATTATTGTTACTTTCAAAAGCATTCTAGGTTCAAAGTTGTTTTTAAACATTTTAATATGAAAAAAAGCATTTAAATTTAAATGGAACGATTGACTCAAATTGTTTCTTTGCATTATAATATGATAATGTAATTTTATTTACAAGCATCATCTTTCAGTTACGTTTTTCTGAAAATAAATGAGTCTGATCTAAAGTCTACTGAAGTTACTATAATGTACCATTGATTGCAAAGGGCTCTGTATCAGGCTCTATAAAAAGATTTTCCTATAGTTGTTTTTCTGTCTCATACTTTTGAGTTTTATTTATCTAGCATGTTAGAAGTGTGTTTAAACAGCTATACTTAAATATCTCATTACTAATTTTGTTTTGAATTGAACTTTGAAACTATGTACAGTATTTGACAAATACATTTCTCTATAGAAAATACAATTGAAAATTATTTACAATTTTCCTTTCTACATACTTCTGTCTTAACATTTAACCCAACTCAAAATGTTTCTCTTACTCCTATTTGCAGAACCAAGATGGATCATGTATCCAATCAGTCAGTCTTATTCTTAATCAGGATCCCAAGAGGCAAGTGACTCTGACTCATTCAGGAGATGTTTTGATATATGATCAGTACAAAATTAGCCTGCCCTATTCGGATGGTAAGGAATAATAAATACCTAAGTAAATAATGCATAGCAAGCACCAAAGCAGTACTTTAAAAACCATGTGTATGAATTATGTTTTTGCCTTTTGGCACATTGCTAATTCCCCATAGGATGGCATCCATTGGTGTTTCACTAACTAATTGTCATGGTATTTCATGCCTTGATTAATTTTTAGTACTATGCCAGAAGCCTTTCACATGAAGATAAAGTATACTGTACCAGTGGCAGGCCCAAAGTCTATCATTCAGACTACAAGGGTCTTTAATTGTGTCCTATAAGCAAAATTCTCCCCAGTCTTCATTATGTGTCTTAATTCTGACTTGTCTCCTCTCCTTACTTACACAGAACTCATAGCAATATTAGTGGGAATTCTAGCTCTCCTTTACATAGCATATGGCTGCTGAAACCCAGCAGAGGAGTTTTGTCTTAAGTTTGGGTTTCGTATTTTCTTGCCTCAATCCAGTGCATTTTTAATATATTGCATATTAAATCAAAGCCCCATCCTGTAAGAATCTCTGTGACTTCAGTGAGAGCCTAAGGGCACTCAGCATCTTGCAGGATCAGGGTTCATGGGAATTGTCCAAAATGTCTATGCTTCATGCAGTAGACTGCCGCTGTTATGATGATGTCACCTGCATACAGCTGATTATCTGAAAAAAATGTATTTTTAAAACTATTTGATGCTACTTACTCTTTATGAAGTTGCCAGTGATCCTTTGATGTGTTTTTACAAAACTTGAGAGACTGTATCAAGCTCATGAGACAGTAAAAGCCATCCTATCCTCATATGATAAATCACTGTTGCTCTTTTAGATTCAGAATATGGAAAATATAAGTGACATAAAATAAAATTCATTATTGAAAGTAGGACTAGGTTCTTAACAAATTTTCATTTTCTTTCAACTTACCTTTTTTCCCCCTCTTACCTTCCCCACCAGATTATTTTGAAATAAGGAAGCTCTCCTCTGTGTTTTTGCAAATAAAGTCTCGCATTGGACTACAGATACTGTATGACAGGCAGGGGCTAAGGCTCTATCTTCAAGTTGATGACCGATGGAAGGATGATACTGTGGGCCTTTGTGGAACCTTCAATGAGAACATGCAGGATGACTTTTTGTATGGCCGATTACATTATTTTTTTCATATGTGTAGAGTGGTATAGAAAATATACATGCTGAAGTTTCTTGGACAGATACCAATAATTTGACTTCATATTTCCCCTTCTTCTCCCTCAGAATTCTGGAACTGAGAAGTTGGTTTTGGTTTTCTAGAAGGGGAAACCTTTAAGACACTATAAACCACATTGATGTTCATGTCTTTTGTAATGAAAATAATCATATAAAATTCATTAGAATATAAACAAATCCTAGTACGGATTGCACCTTTATAAACCAGAACTCTCTGGTCTGGTTCCAGGATCAAAGAGACCCCACATGCTGTGGGAGATGGGGGGGCTGGTGTGATGTGTGGGGTGGGGGAGTGGGAGCCTGTGTGCAGCTCAGCAGGGCTGTGGGGACTGTGAGCTGGCACATGGCTCAGCTGGGTTGTGGGGGAACCATGAGAGGGGGCAAGGCAGGGACTGGGGTTGGCAGGAGGTGGGCCAGAAATGACCTCCCCTGGTCTGGCAAAATCCATGATTCAGGACCAGTCAGGTCCCAAGGGTACCGGACCGGGGAGGTCCAACCGGTAGTTCCTAGGCGTACTTTATTTGGAATCTTGTGCCTGAAAATGTCTCTCTCCTGAAGGACTTTCTTCTGCTTCCTTGTGAGCCTTTTCTTATCTCTTTTCAGATCCTTCTCCCACTACCATTCTAATCTCCTTTCTCCAACAGAGTCCCCATTGTGCTGAGTTTTGCAGCCCAGCAGTAGATTTCAAAATGAATTTGCCTGTTGTTTGATCTTCCCTCTGCTGTGAATGCCTTAGAGTTGCATGAGCCTCCCAGTGAAACATAGTAAAATCTGGTCAGTTTTGCTCTGAAGTCAGTGTGTAGTTTTGCAGACCCAGCACAGTGAAGTGTCTTCAGGATGAAGAAACAGTCTACTGAGCAGGGAGAAAATGAAGGGAAAAGAATAAGGAGAGGGTCAACTGAACAGAAAGGGGTAGCAAAAAGTAGATGATAGGGACATTCTTCTGATCTATCAGAAAGAAAAAAAAAAGAATACTTTCTATTAAAGCTGGTAGAAAAATGCAAACCTTTTTTCACACATAAATGTCCCTAATTTCATTGAAAACTTTTAGAATTATTTTTCCCAACTAGCTCTACGCTTTATTTTAAAGATACAAGGAATCATCAGGTAACAAGGCCTAGATCACACTGGGATGTACTATACATTTGCCAACTGCATTTACAAGATGCCAAGATATTCTTACATTCTTAAAAGTTTAATTGACAAACACCAGATGTTTGCAACACACCTTTCATTTTCCAAACCATCTGATCTGTAACACACACCATCCGTATAGGGGTATGTCTACATTACAAAGTAATTCGAACTAACAGACGTTAGTTCGAATTAACTTTGATAGGCGCTACACTAGCGCTCTGCTAGTTCGAACTTAGTTCGAACTAGCGGAGCGCTTAGTTCGAACTAGGTAAACCTCATTCTACAAGGACTAAGCCTAGTTCGAACTTACTAGTTGGAATTAAGGGGTGTGTAGCCCCTTAATTTGAACTAGTGGGAGGCTACCCCTCCCCAGCTTTCCCTGGTGGCCGCTCTGGCCAACACCAGGGAAACTCTATGCCCCCCTCTCGGCCCCGGAGCCCTTAAAGGAGCATGGGCTGGCTACGATGCCCGTGCCAGGGGCAAGCCTGCCAGCACCCAGCTAGCAGACCCTGCACCTGGCACAGATCGAGCCACCCACCCGATGCCCCCCAGCCCTCCCCCTCTTCCCGGGACCAGGCTGGCGGCTCCCGGGAGCTTGACCGGGACCGCAAGAAGCGGGCACCCGCCTGGGCTAGTGCGGATATCGTGGACCTTGTCCACGATCTCCACACTAGGCACAGGAAAGTGGCTGGCTTGGGCAGGAGAGCTGCCAGCCTGGCCACCCAAGAGCAGGTGTGCAAGAGAATCAAGGGGGTCCACTGAGACCCCCGACCCTGAGCTTACAATGGCCGTGCTGGGTCAGACCAAAGGTCCATCTAGCCCAGTAGCCTGATGCCCTGCCGGCACTGCTTCCGGCCATCCTTAACCCCGGTTCAGGGTCCACTTAATGTGGATATGCTAGTTCGAATTAGCAAAACGCTGATTCGAACTAGTTTTTTAGTCTGGATGCGTTAGTTCGAATTAGCTTAGTTCGAATTAACTAATTCGAACTAATTTAGTTCGAATTAGCGCTGTAGTGTAGACATACCCTGGGTGACAAATGGTTGAAATGTGACAGCTGCACCATACTGGGCAGATTACAACGTTTAAGTATAAAACCATAATTGACAAATCATAATGTGTTTAAGGGGCTTGCTCAGTGTGTGAAGCAAATGGTCTGGTTATGCAGTCTCTTAGTGTACATCTGCTTGGCAGTAAAACACCTGTGGTGCAGCCATGGCTTGTCCGGGTCAGCTGAGTTGGGCTTGTGGGGCTCTATCTATGGGACTAACAGTTGCTGTGTAGGTGCTCAGGCTGGATCCTGGGCTCTCAAACCCAGTCAAGGGGGCAGGTCTCAGAGCCTGGGCTCTGGCCCAATCTCCAGTGTCTACAGTGCAATTTTTAGACTTGGTACCGTGGTTTACCCACAACCCCCTGTGCATCCCTAATTAACCAGTAGCAGGTTGCGAACCTAGTTGATTTGCTTCATTTAGTTTTCATTAAAATTCTGATTTGTGAATTATTGCGTGATGCCCAATGGTGAGCATGCAGAGATCATATAGGGGAAAGACTCAAGTGAGGGTGGATGTGTGTGGTTATGGCTAGGACCCTGCACAGATACACAGTTTTATCCGCATCTGCATCTATATCCGCAAAACTGAGCAATAGATATCTGCATCCACATCTGCGGATGAGGAGACCCATGGATATAAAGTGCATATCCTCAGTTTTACAGCCCCTCAGTATGAGCCCCTTGAGCCTACGCCTGCTTGCATGGGCCAGCTGTGCATGTTTGACAGCTGGGCAAACATAGCCACAGATTTTCAAGGCCAGTTCTGCTCTCACTTCCCATCTAGGGAAAATGATACTGGGTCTCACGTGCCCCCTTCCTGCCCTTTCCCTTCCTGAAATCTACAGGCTCCTGGTCAGCTCCCCTCTTTCCTTTCTAGCCTTCTGTCTGCTGTTTGGGGTCAGGGTGGGGAGGGGTTGGGTCACGGTGTGTGTGTCTGTGTGTGCGTGCGTGCATGCAGAGATGCAGGCTGCAGCTCCTATCCTGCTGGGTTGGGCCTGAGAGAGCTATGCAGTGAGAGAGGGATGCTGAACAATATCTTTGTGGACTGTGGTGCCGGTGAGGGGTTATGTTGTGAATTTGTGACCTTTTCAGTGACTGACCTTTGCCTTTCAAAAGATCTCCAGTAGGAGTCCCTGAAAGCACTCCTCAGCTGTTTGGGAACTCTTGGAAAACTTCATCGGCATGTGCCTCTGGGTATGATCATTCACCTGTGGACCCTTGTGATATCCACTTACAGGCAGGTGAGCAATGAGGATCCATCATTATTTGTCTGACACCAACATGTTTCATTCTGCTTGGACCTCTGAGCCCAAGTCACAAAAGCTAAACAGCTATTTTTAGTGCATTAGTACACTTGATTCCAGATGCTGATAGATAAATCCACCAAGGCCCAGATCCACAAAGTTCTTAGGTATCTAAGTCCCAGTTTTAGCTTCACTGTGAACCACATAACTGCTTGGCTATTGCCTAATTCTGTAGGCACCTATGCTTCTGTCTCTGGACACGTGCACTACTGCCTTACCCTAGGCTGCCAGGTACCTCTCTGACCCCTAAGCTCCAGAGCAAGTTACAGACTGCAGGGGAAGAGGCGTTTGTCTGTCTAACTCACGTGCAGGCTTTGATCCTATAGGTGTACTCGGAAGCTGCCTGCTGGATTTGGTCGCATTTGAAATGGATGTGCTGCTGATGCCAACCCTATAACTTTTAGCACAGTGGTTAGAGCTCTCATCTGGGGTGCAGCAAAGCCAGGGTCCAGTTCCACTGCTCCAACAACTATGTAGCTTCAACGGGAAAGATTCTGGGAGCCACACACCAGAATATCCTCTAGCTCTGTGGTTACAGCCCTCCCCTAAGTAGCAGGAAATGGCTGTTCAAATCCTTTTCATGGTTTAGGCAGCAGGGAGGGCTGGGCCTCCCACAGATCAGGTGAGTGCTCTAACCACTGGGATTTATGTTATAAACTGGGTACCATAAGCACCATCCACTTTGTGCAGTGTTAAGCAGCTACCACTACCTTCTCCTCCCCCTATGATTTTATGTGGAGTGAGGCAGGTTGCCTAGCTCATGCTCACAAGAAATGACTTGGGCGTGCAAGCTGCTTGACTCTGGGAGTGGGGAGGGTTTCTTTTGGTGGATGACTAGCATAAATAGGCATCTCCCTGTAGCCTAGACTTGGTGCTTATTTCTGTGACAGGGTCGGACAGGTTTAGGACACATCCTTCTCATTAGCACCTTCCATTGGCTAGTGTAGGCTTTGTGGATATCAGTGTTATCCTGTGTTTTTTCCAAGCTCAGCATCACAGTGCCTAAGTGCCTTTATGGATTCAGACCAGGGATGGGCTAAAGGGCCTCCGCAGGCTGGATCCAGCTCACCAAGCAGGTACATCCGGCCCACAGAGGCCCTACCACTCTCCCGCTCCAGGCCAATTTCGGTCTGGGGGTGGGGGGAGTGTGCAAAGCCAGGAGCACGTGGTGCTTGGAATTGCCAGGCGCTCTGATATGGTTGGAGGAGGCTTTGCGTGCTCCTCTACCCCCAGACCAATCAGAGCCTGGGGGTGGGGGAGCATGTGAAGTTTCCTCCACTCTATCCCCGCCCTGCGAGCAGCGCGCAACACTTAAAAGCACCATGCACTCCTGGCAAGGCAGGAGAAGATTTCATGCACTCCCCTACCCCTGGGCCCTGATTGGCTTGGGGGCAGGGGAGCACGTGAAGCCTCCTCCCACCCTGCCAGGAGTGCGTGGCGCTTTTAAACACCATGCAGGGTGGGGGCAGAATGTAGGAAATTTTGCACGCTCCCTTGTCCCCAGGCCTTGATTGGCCTGGGGGCAGGGGAGAGTGGGAAGTCTCCTCCCAGCCAGGGGCACGTGCTCAGGCACCTAAAGGGAAGGGCGAGGGGGCAGGTGCTCAGACACCTAAAGGGAAGGGCGAGGGGGCAGGCTGGCAAAGGTGCCCCTCTACCCCCAGACCAATCATGGTCTGGGGGTGGAGAACCTGGAAGTATCCCAGCCCTGCCCCGCCCCTCCCCTTTCACCTGAGTCCCCGGGGTGGGGCTCGGGGCTCCAGCAAAAAATTATTGCCTACCCCTGATTCAGACCTAACTGCTTCTTCAGCAATCAGTGCAGCTCCTATTGACAGCAATGGAAGTTGCACATATACATCTACTATAGAGTAAAATATGTTCATAAATTTCCTGCTATGCTCTGTTTTAATAAACAACACTACTTCCTCCCGTAAAAACGCTAACAAGCGTTAATAGTTTTGGAACTAAAATTTTTTTTAATATGTTGCCTTAACAGCCTCTTATGCAGCAGAAGCTTGTAGCATCATTACAAAAGAACTCTTTGCTGCGTGTCACACCTATCTGAGTCCTGTTTCCTATTTTGAGCAATGTAGAAGGGACACCTGCAAATGTGGGCAGATTTGTTTGTGCTCTGCTTTAGCCAATTATGCTCATCAATGCCGAAGACATGGAGTAATAATAGATTTTAGATCTAGCATCCCAGACTGTGGTAAGTTGGCTTTCATTTCGGACTAATGTTTTAATGTCAGGTTTTATGCATGGCAGTGAGCAAGCTAAATGGAATGTTGCCTATTTCATATATGGGGCCCATGAATTATACTCCATTCTTGTTATACATGGTACTAGGACAAAAGTCCTTTTCTCACCAAATCAGAATAAATGCTGTCATTTATCAAGTCACTCATAACTCTGTTCTCCCACTCACACATCATCATATATATTTTTTGATTGCTTGTTCATGTGCATTCCAATAAGGAGTGTGTGTGTGCACAGTAGCCAGAAGATTTTTCCCCTAACAGCTATCCTGAGCACCCTTTGGAGGGCACTCAGTATAAAGCCCTGCTAACCCACACCCCTCCTCGATTCCTTCTTTCTGTCAGGGATGGTAGCTGGAATTTCCCAACACTCTACAACAGCTATCCTGAGCACCCTTTGGAGGGCACTCAGTATAAAGCCCTGCTAACCCACACCCCTCCTCGATTCCTTCTTTCTGTCAGGGATGGTAGCTGGAATTTCCCAACACTCTACAAGCATAGCAATCATCCTTTTCTAGAGTTCTTTCTTGCTAGCATGAATTGTGGTTAGTGCATAGTTTGGAGTTAGACTACCTTTTGGGGAGAGTTGTTGTCTCCCACATGTCTCAACTCTGTAGCATATCTGGGTCTCTGGGCTTCAAACCCTGTGAAACCTGCATCATGTATATGCCCAGAAGAGATCTCCACTGTTCGTGTTGTACTTAGGAGGGGGTCACCAGCAAGATTGTTGTGCCATCTGTAAAACTCCAGCCCTGAATATGAAAGGATAGAAATCAATGCCTGAAGGTTTTGCTAATGGAGTCTGAGCCAGGGTTGATGGGACTCTGTGTCGAGTACCTCTCCCTCAGCATGGAGCGCCTTGGCATGTCAGCCTGGCTGGTACCAGGAAAGGACAGGGCCTCGTGGCACTGTTTGAGTACATGTGCCGCAAGCAAGCAAGCAAGAACCGCTCCCAGGCACTGGTGCCACTGAAAAAGAAGAGGCCAGACAGAGAATGATATTCCACTGCGAGGCCTAAGGAATCAGCCCCTGTGAGATCTGAGTCATGCCATGCTAGTGCAGCCTCACCGCCGCTGCAGGTCATCCCCAGTGGGGATGGGCGGTTATGTCTGGACTCTCGGCCACTGATGCAACGCTAGGAGCTGCACTTTCCCTTGATGCTGGAGGCTTTCAGCGCATTGCAAGAGCTGCTGCATTTAATGGTACCATTCTCCCCACCCAGACAGATGTCACTGGCATGAGTCCCATCCTCCTGTCTCCTCCTTTTGGAGAGGAGCCTGCCATGATGGCTTGTCAGACTTAGGATGGGGAGCCCCTCTGAGAGACCTCAGGACACACTGTCAGAGAGCTGAGAGTGGTGTGCCTTGCAAGGCAGACCTTCCAGGCACACCAAACAGGGCACTGCATAGCAGTTATGATGGAGAGCAGTGTTCCCTCTAAGCTGAAGGGCAGCACAGCTTCACGGGTGATTAATCACCCCTGCCCATTCAGAGGCTCAGGGCTCTGTGCAGGGAGCTGACTGACTGAGCAGGGCTGATTAATCACCTGTGAAGCTGTGCTGCCCCGCAGCTTAGAGGGAACACAGATGAACAATCCAACAGAAATGTTCTAGATCAACAAACACACTCCTCTCCCCTGTTCGCGCTCTGGGACTTCTGTGTAAAATGTACACTACACTTGCAAGCATGGGACCTCTCTGGGATACAGAACAAGCTAGTTGACCAGCTCAGCAGGTCATTTCCTGGGTGCAAATGGTCCCTTCACTTGGACGTTGCAAATTCAGTCTTCCAGAAATCGGGGTTTCCCCAAATCGACCTATTCCCCATTCAACACCAAAGGCATTGTCAGCAGTTTCACTCTTTTCAGAACTACTGCCCAAGCTCCAGCATAGATACATTTCTCCTTCTATGGTAAGGTCATCTCCTTTATGCCTTTCCTCCCATACCACTTGTCCGCAAGTTACTCCTCCAGATCCAGAGGGAATAGCTCAAGTTATAGTGATAGCACTAGCTTGTCCCCATCAGCACTGGTACACTTCCCTCTTAGACATGTCCGTGGAAGCCATGGTGACCCAACCTCTCTTGCTAGACTTAGGGTGTGTCTAGACTACCTAGTTTTGTCGACAAAAGTGGACTTTTGTCGACAAAACAATACCAGCGTCTACACTACCGTGGAG